GCTATTGCTCCTTCTCCTGCTGCACATCCCGGCTGGACTTGAAGAAGTCACTACGCAGCAGGCGGTATAAGAGGATGATGTTCATGGGCGTCATGATTGCCATGCCCACTGTGCCTACAGCGTACGTTGCTGGGGGCACGTTCTCTCGATTGAGGAAGAGCCAGCGAGTCATCCAGGCCAGCGTGGCAATGCGAAACACCACGTAGGTACCCAGGTTGATGAAGCTGTTGAGGCGGTAGCAGGTGGTGTGCACCAGGTTGGCCATGAGCAGGATCTGCCGCAGGTGGAGGAAGATGGAGTTAATCTCTACCAGCAAAGCCACCAGGGCAAACCCAACGTACTGGTGGAGCAGCACTGCAATACCAAAGCAGACAATCACCTGGGAAGGAGAAAGAAGAGAGGCTGAGCAGAGGAGCTGGTTGCTTTCAGCTGCTGCAAGCTGGAGCTCTCCATCCTTGGGCACAGCATGGAACAGAGGTGGAAACGGTTATCACAGCAGTGCCAAACCGCTGATCATCACCCCACACACATCTCTGCAGCTTTGCAGCCTCCAGCCAGCACTGCAGCCTCCGGCATGAGATAACACCTCCCCACCTTTGCATGAAACCTGAGTGTGGCTTTTTTTTTTTCCCCAGTGGGAGGAGTAGGAAACATTCTTATAAACTCCAGGTTGGCAGAGGAGACAGAGCAGCCAGACCTAATGGTGCTTTTGTTGCCTGGGGGGTGCAGCTGGTTGTGGCCCAGCAGGTTTTTCTGCACACCCAGGAACAGGGCAGGAAGGGAGACATGTAGCCCAGGGCTACCGTTGCTGCTGGCTCAGGGATTCTCCCCAGGACAGACACAGTACAGGAATTAAGTGGCTTTAGTGCATCAGAGAGCCCCGTGGGATGCCCCTAGCCTGGCCTGAAGCACCCTGGGGCTGCTGGGTGCTGCAGCAGAGGACAGGGCAGAGCGGGTACGATTCCTGCCCTGCACCCTCCCTGCCAGGCAGGGGGACAGCCTCTGCCTGCCTGCGCTTTAGCACACGCAGTCCTTTCTTCAGTTTATACCATTAATGCTGTTCTCTGTATTGGCTCTTTAATGAGATTATCTGCTCCCTGCTCGTTAAGTCACTGTCTTGGCCTGAATTAGCTCTATTGTGGAGATGACCTTTTGACTTACGAGCAGCGAGCAGCAGCTGGCAGAGCCGCAGGGCTCACTGGGCTCTGCGAGACAGCAGGTCTGACCATCGTCTCCCTCATCTCATCCCAGGTCCCAGTGCTGTCCCTGTCCCCCATCCCCAGGCCCTGCAGACCCCTGTGCCTCCCCTGTACCCTGCAGCGTCTCTGCTGCTCAACTCCAGGCTGTGCCACCCCCCCTGCCCTGCAGCATCCACAACGCTCTGGCATCCGGACATCGAAGGCGATCAGAGAAACCCACGCTGGGCACAGCCAGCGGCAAGGCAGGGGGAGCGCAACCTCCCTGCCCCTGGGCTGCTTTAGCCCCCCCAGCCGTGTGGCCAAGGCTCTGACCTGAACGAGAGGAAAGCACCCCGGGGAGCGGGAGGTGGAAGGAAGCGATGTGCAGCCCTTCCTGGCAGATGCTCAAGTGACCAAGAGCTGACAGGAGCTGAGCTGCTCGCCTGTGCTGGCAGGGACACTGGGTCACTGCCTGTCCACGCTACTGTTATGGATCAGCCCCGCAGCCCAGCCCTCTTCCCCTCTACTCTGTGCACGTGGGTTTTTTTTCCTACTCCATCTCTGGGTGCCTTGAAGAGTACATGAGTCCTGCAGGACCAAGAGGAGCTCCAAGCCCTGCTGTCTGGGCTCCTCTCCCCAGGCAGAAAAATCAGATTTTGTAACAGGCAGCAAACACCCACACTAGCAACAGCAGGAGCCCTGCTCATGTCCCCGAGCCCCAGCCACACCAGTGGTACAAGTGCCAGGGTCTGTCCCTCGGAGAGCGGCCAGTGGACTCACCACGGAGTGATGGAAGAGCAGCTCCCAAGACTGATGAAGTTTCTGATTGCACAGCATGTCCACAAAGTCTTCAAGGAAATAACCTGGGATCAGAGAGACCATGAGCAAAGAAGGGGGCCAGGAAAGGCTGTGCCAAGGGACCCTCCCCTACCCAGCAGGGTCTGCACCTGACTGGGCTGGGCAGCCCATCTTGGGAAGTGATGGCCACAGCTCAGCCCAAACCCTGCGTGGGTGGCAAGTCACGCACGGAGCAGGACCACACAGAGCAGGAGAAGGAAATTGGTGTGTTTTGGGTCCCTCCTGCAATCGCTCTGTAGGACGTGCTCCTAGGGAGAGGCACTGACTGATCACTTGGTCTGTTCCCAGAGAAGGGTGAGAGCAAAGGCAGCATGTGGACCCTCACCCTTGTTACCGTCCCAGAATTGAGTCCTTTTCAGCCCGGAGCCCTTAACAGCTGCAGGATTCACTGCCACCAAACCAACTCCATGTTGGCGTTTTAGATACTCAGAGCTCCTTGCTGAGCTGTAGCCATGGTGGGAAGCCTGTTAGCACTGACCACAGGGCTGGTGACAGATCTGTGAGAAGGTGACAAGCTGGCGGTGGGAGAAAGGCTTCACACAGCCGAGAACTCAAAGCTCCTGACCTCCACACTGACAGGTTTAGCTCGAGGCTTTGCAGGGACCTGCATCAACCCCATATCATGGGCACTTTTGGGATGCCCCAAGCCCTGGCTGCCCATGAGGATGGTGGCGGGCAGCCTGGTGCCCAGTACCTCCTGGCTGCGGGTGCCGTGGGACAGAAAGGAGCCACTGTCCTTTGCCAAGAATAGGGCAATTGTCTGGGGTGCCTGAGACATCGCTGGGCGCAACGTGGCTCGAGGGGCTGGTGTCAGGCACCGATGAGCCCCTGGGGACCCCCCCGGGG